CCCTTTTTCTTCTTCTCACTTCCCCGAACTCCTCGATAAGTACCTAGCCCGGGCTTGTCAATGTCGGTAGATAACGATGCTGGCCGCGCCTAGGCGCATGTTCCCCAGTGGTGGGCAAAATCCGGATAACGTATCCGTATAACCGAATAATTCTAAATGAAACATTATCCGAATTCAGACTCTTAGACTCTCTTTTCTAACCCGTTCGCCGAAGTGGGTGCACCCATTTATTGGAGTGGTTCTAATCCGTTTGTAGAAGTGGTTCTGACCCACATGCTGAAACGGTTCATAACGCATTTAATTGCCGAAGAGGTGCACTAACATATTATCCGAATTTTGCGAAAGCGACTTATGGCCCAGCCCTAAATTGTCCCCCCTCCTCCACATAGCACACGCACACATTGCCGTGCGTGGCGTAAAACTTCCTGGTTGTCACTCACATCCTTTTTTTTTTTTTTCTTCTTCTTCTCTTTGTGGGTGGTTGGCGGGTGCTCTGGTGTGGTGTGCTCCTTCGGTCCTATCAAACATCTATCGTCCTTATCTATCCTCCTTTTTTTTTTTTTGTGTATGTTATTCTCTTGTAACACATCTATTCTTCGGCGCGGCACTTAATATGACCTTATTGTGTTGCAAGTGCCGTAAAACTTTTACTAAAAATATACTTCCTGGTTGTGACTCACTTCTTTTTCTTTCTTTCTTTCTTTCTTTCTTTCTTTCTAAAAGAAAAATTCTTTCCTACTCTGTCCTTAACATTTGGTATGTGTCTCCTTCCCCCCCCCCCCCTAAAAAAAATTTTTTTTTTAAAATATGCAGGCGGACAGACAGACACACAGACATAGACATGGGTGGATGGATGGGCAGATAGAAAGATGGATAGATAAAGAGATGGATGGATAGATATAGATGGATAGATAGATAATGTGTGGGGTTTGAGTGTTTCTGTCCACTTGTACTGTGAGTGGGTTGTCACATCTCTCCCCACCTCACCCCCACCCACCAGCCCTTTCAACTATCAACTGCCTATCTATCCCATTTAATACGAACTCGCCCTTTTCATGCCGTACTCACAGAGGTTGTTACAGAATTTCTATTTTGGGATGTTGTTGTTATTCCGTCCAAGCAGTGCAAATCATATAGTCATCCTCTAGTTGGATTTTGGGAATTAAGCTAGAGGCTGGTTGGAAGGGGCTGTCACTGGTGAGTCCGTCCTAGTTCTTTAATACATGGATCATCTCTTCATACATTTTTTTTTCTTTTTGACTGCTCTTATCCCCTACTTGTGGGTGGTTGGCGGTTGCTCTGGTGTGGTTTGCTTCTTCTTTCCTATCAAACGTCTATCGTCTCTTCTTTTTTGTGTTTGTTACTCTCTTGTAACTCCTCTAATCTTCTGGCGCTCATATGACCTTATGCAGTTGCAAGTGCCGTAAAACTCCTTTCTAAAACTAAACAAAAAAACTTTTTACCTCGAACAACTGTGAAGGTTGGAGGGTCACACTGGTATGTTTTACAGCTTTACTCTTCCTGTTTTATCTGTCGATTTGTCTCACTGCCTTTCCCAACTCAGAATGACCTCTATCTTGCTAAAGTGCTTCTCTGTACCCAAAAGATTCCTAAAATGTTGTGCTCCTTAGGATATCTTATCTTCAAATTTAAATGAAAACTTTGAAGTGTCATTCTTGTGAGGGAAGCAAAAAACATGGATGGTTGGCGGGTTTCTGTGGTGTGGTTTTTTCCTTCTTTCCTGTCACATATCTATCGTCCGTATCTCTCCTCTTTTTTTGTTTTTTTTTTGTTTGTTACTCTCCAGTAACTCTCAAACTAGCCACCCTACCACAATATGCCGAAGGCCCGGGAAGTTGTCTCGCTCGCTAACAGGGCAATCCCCAATGTCGGGATCAGATGCGGGAACAACTTTACTTTTACTTTACTCTCAAGTAACACTTCTAGTCTTTGGCACTGTATGACCTATTCATATCTGTGTTGTGAGTGCAGTAAAACTTACTAAAACAAAAGTTGTAGGAAAAGATTTATTTACAGTTGGCCTACTTGTTGTTGTTGTTGGCGATCCAGTAGCATCTGAGCGTTAACTCTTCTGCATGATGCCATTCGGTAATAGTTGCATGTTTGTTCTGATTTTTTTCTTGAGGAGTAGAGGCAATTAGATGTGTGGGGTAGCTTGGGAAGAAAACATCCCCTTAAATCAGTCAGTTTTCTACAGAAGAACAGATGATGTTCCAGTGTCTCTGAGGGGTAGTCACATAGTGGGCAGGCAGCAGTTGGCCTACGTAATATTCTAATTTTGAGCAATGTACCACCCGACTTATAACATCTCCTTTTTTTTTTCATTTCACAGATTTGCAATCTAGTCGTTGGAAGACCTTATCACGGCGTTTCTCAGTAATCTCCACCACAAAAAATATAACCACTTCCCTAGTGTCGCGTGAGACCTCTCGGACCTACCTATCGCTCAACCACAACAACAGCAACAGCAACAACAACAACAACAGCGACAACTACAGTAGTCACCATGTCGGTGAACGACGATGCTGTCATGTCGGGCAGCGACAGCTTCTGGGAGGTGGGCAAGTACATGCGCACGGTGAAGCGCTGCGACAACGGCTACCAGCTGTGCAACCACCTCAAGAGGCTCATCGAGGAGCGCAGCGAGATTGAGAAGAAGTACTCGGCCGTGCTCAGTGAGTGGGCCAAGAAGTGGAACAATTTCCTGGACAAAGGTAATGAGTCTCCATGCACCACATGCTCGCGCGCGCACGCGCGCGCACACACGCACTCACGCCACACACACGCGCTCATGCACACACACACACACGCATGCGCAAGCATGCTCGCACGCACGCACATATGCACTATCTTGTTGTTAGTGTTGTAAAAAGTTTTATTTGATAGGAAAAAAACATACTCTATAATGAAGACGCTATTGCACACTCTTTGCTTCTCACGTGTTAAGTTGTTTTT